TCTTATGTTCTTACATGGAATTCACTGCCACAGGAGGTGGCGGCGGCTATAAGCATAGATGGCTTCAAGCGGGAACTGGAGAAACATATGGAGCAGAGGTCCATCAGTGGCTCTTAGCCACATGGTATAGATAGGAACTCTAGGTCTGGGGCAAGGGATGCTCTGTCTTCTTGGTGCTTGGGGGGGGTAACAGTGGGAGGGGCTTCTAGTGTCCTGGCCCCACTGCTGGACCTCCTGAGGGCACCTGGTATTTTTGGCTACTGTGTGAGACAGAGTGTTGGACTGGATGGCCCATTGGCCTGATCCAACATTGGCTTCTCTTATGTTCTTAACGTGGTAGTGAGCCGTGACTCACGAAAGCTCATCCCCTGCCACAAATTCTGTCAGTCTTTAAGGTGCTGCTGGATGCTTGCTCTTTTCAGCTGCAAGATCAGTGAACCTTTCAAGATAATTGGGAACACACACACACACACACACACACACACACACACACACACACACACAGAGACTTGCTTGTTTGGTGAGAGCCTGCTCTAGCTTCCCCCCACCACAACTACCACCAACGGCAAGCAAAACAGCTAGACTGGAGTCCAGTCGCTCCTCAGAGACCAACAAGACTTTCGAGACTCAAAGCTCCCTCCGTCAGAAGGTGGGAGGACTGTTGCAAAGAAGGGATTCAGGATGCAGAGGTACCACCAGGCACATCGTAATCTGCTTGATTAGAGCAGGAAGGCTTTTATTTTTTTTTGCTCTCAGGTGACAGCTGACTTGAGGCAACCCTGTGGGATTTTCAAGACAAGAGATGTCCAGAGGTGGGTTTGCCACTGCTGGCCTCCACCTCACAACCTTGGTATTCCTTGGTGGTCTCCCTTCCAAATACTGACCGGGCCCAACCCTGCTTAGCTTCGGAGAAAGAGCTGATGGGGGATTGGGCTACCCTGGGCCATCCGGTGTCAGGAATTGCTTAGGGGCATAAGATTAGCATCTGTGCCAAGATAAGGATTCTATTCAGCCCTGGTGGGGTTCCCTGTTCTGAATTTGTGAATGAGCTCAACAGCAAGCAGAAGAGGTGGCTAAGAGGAGGTCTGCTAGGAAACGCATGTCCATATTTGTTTTGTACACCAGACGCCACAAATGAAGCTTGCCTTCTACAGGATCAGACTCTTTGTCTATCAAGGTAGATTTGGGCTGAAGCAACAGAACAAAGTCTGAGTTAGAGATGTGAAGGCCCGGAAAAAAAAACTGGAAACATTTTGGGGGGGAAATGTTTCCGCCCCGTTTTTTCCCTGAAGCCTTTTTTGTTTTTTCCGAAAAATTGGAACGTTTCCGCCCCGTTTTTTCCCTGAAGCCTTTTTTGTTTTCCCCCGAAAAAATGGAAACATTGAAAAAAGAAGAAGAAAAATTGATTATGAAACGTTTTCTTTTAACATGATGAATAAAATATTTTGAGACAAGGTGTTCAAATATTTTCCAAATCATTTCTAAAAGATAGGTATGGTACCAGATTGATCTAATTTCTGCGTACTGAGGACAAGCAGGTCCTAGCTTACAAACTGAACTCTCCAATGCAAGAACAAGATGCATTTCTTCCTTTAGTAGGTGCTGTTGTCACGAGAAAAGAAAAAGGTTTCAGTTTTGTTTTTGCATGTGGGTGGGTATTCTGTTTGTAATAGCAGTTTGGACACACTATATTTTTAATATGCTAGTTGTGATAATTTCATGCCAAGTAAAAATGTCCATAGTCATATTTTATGTTCCTAAAGTAACAGAATGACTTCCAATCTGGAAAAGAAAAAAGAAGTGCTAATGTAGCATTTTTTTCAATTTTTCCCAAAATTCCCCTTCCCCCCCGGAAAAAAACGGGTTTTTCCCCGAGCTTCAAAATCTCCGGAAATTTTACATCTCTAGTCTGTGTCCAGTGGTACCTTTAGGACAAACAATGTTTTATTCCTGGAATAAGCTTTTGTGTAAATGCACATGAAAGCTTATACCCAGAATTAATCTTTCTTGGTCTTCAAGGTGCCACTGGGCTCAGACGTTGTTCTTTTTCTATCAAGGTCAGCCTTGTCTCCTCTGACCAGCAGCTGCTCTCTGGAGTCTTAGGTAGAGGTCTTTCACATTAAAAGGTAAAGGTTTCCCTTGCTCGAAAGCCAGTCAAATCCAACTCTAGGGGTGTGGTGTTCATCTCCGTTTCCAAGCCAAAGAGCCAGCACTGTCCGAAGACGTTTCCTTGAGTATTTGGCCAGCATGACTAGATGCCAAGGCGCACGGAACGCTGTTACCTTCCCACCAAAGCGGTACCCAGGTCTTCTTTTGTAGAAAAAGCCCAGCAGGAACTCATTAGCATAATAGGCCACACCCAACAGCAGAAACTTGTTAGCATATTAGGCCACACCCCTGACAGTGCATCTCATTAGCATGCTAGGCCACACCCCCATGGCTCCCCTTGGCTTGCCCGGGCAAGCTGGCCCTTGGACAGGCTGTGGAAGGCATGGGGTGGCATTTAAATGCCTCCCCGATCCTTCCAGGGCCCCCCTGGCCCGCCCACCTCGGAGTCGTCGGGGGGTCACTCTCCAGGCCTTACCTCTATAGCCACGCATACAGAGGTTCTGGCTGCAGTGGACGTGGCCAGCTCTGAAGCCAGCCGGAACTCCGTTCCTGTGCGTTCCTGCCCAACAATAGCCCTGGCGGTACCTATTTATCTACTTGCAGTTTCTTGCTTTTGAACTGCTAGGTTGGAAGGAGCTGGGGCCAGAGATGGGAGCTCACTCCATCATGCGGCACTCGGGTCTCAAACTGCTGAACTACAGACCTTCCAGTCTGGACATTATTTCACACCTAATCCTTTT